GCATTAATTACAAACTTTTGTAGTTTATGAATGCTATGTATACCTATTAATGTTATTGTTTTTTAAATGGTAATTAATAAAAAAAAACTTGCATCATTGTCATGGTCATATAATTAAGTTTGAAATTCATATTGCATTCTTATAATATATATTAAGCAGAAATTGCCAAATTATTTTATTCTCTTTTTAAAGTGAATAAAATGTAACAACAACCTTTGTATAATTAAAAAAATATATATGATCTAGAAACCTATGCCAGTTACCACAGAGTACATTATTTTATAACTGGTACCAGTTACGTTTACGCTCAACCTATAGCAAAGACAAAAATTTAAAACACAAAACAAATGGTGGACAACGAAATGTATTATTATGGATTCAAAAGAAAGTTCTAATAAAGCATAATATTAAAATTTGAAATTTATATATGTATATATCTACTCTTAAATCTACTCACACATATAAACAGGTAGTTATTGTGTGATACTAAATAAAGGAAAGTTTAAAAAACTTTAAGAAGTAAGTTGAAAAGCTTTGGTGTAGGCGTAGATAACTGGACTCTGGAGATCCCAACATGAGCTTATACCACCTGCACCTGTGTACCTACTCGTTAATTTTTATTACCGTTCTCAAGATAATACATAGAACAACTTCTACATTCTTGCTATCAATGACACTATAATCTCGACACCTGCGTTAATTTTTGATAAGTTATCGATTACTTAGCATAGATTAGCACAACTAGATTAATTCACGTCGCTGATATTTTTTCATTTATATCGCCATACCTGGCGATGACGGTCTTGTGGTTGTGGCAGCAATGTTTTTTTTAAATTAGTGTGTAGAAACTAAGTGTACATTTCAAAATGCAGTTCTCTATAACATTTTTGTGTTTTTTGACTCTCTGGTGTAGTATTAATGCAAGATGTTTGATGCGTGGCGAATGTGATGGTAATGATGGAAAAGTAAAGCCATGCTATAATGACACAGAACCAGTGTCAATTATTGAAGATGTAGCCGAAGAAGATGTTGAAAGTGTATTGACAACATTTGAAAGAATATGCCCGACGTTTTTGATCGACGATGAAGGAAATAGGTTACCAGACGATGAGATTTATACATGCTGCTCTGCAGAACAAGTGTTCAGCATGGCCGAAAGTTTAACACTAGCTGAAAGTATTCTCGGCCGGTGTCCTACGTGCTTCAGAAATTTTGCGAGACAAATTTGCGAAATGAACTGTGCTGCCGATCAATCACGATTCGTGGAAGTAGTTACCGAAGTGGGTGCAGATGATAGAGTGTACGTCAATGGAATAAACTACACACTTCATGAAGACTTTATGTTGGGAGCCCATTCCTCCTGCTCGAATGTCATTGTGCCCCAGACAGGCTTTCTAGCAATAAACATGATGTGTGGTAGTGCAGTAAACTGCACAGCGGAAGCTTGGTTTGGATTCACTGGTGATACGGAAGCTAATCCTATAACTCCGGTAGAAGTAAATTTTCATATGACGTCTGATAAAGAAATTTCGATGCACGCAGAAGCCTTACCTTGTACTGAAACCTTTGAAGGCGATCTACCTTGCAGTTGTATGGACTGCAGAAGTACATGTCCAGATAGCACACCTTACGTTCCAGATATATGCGGTGTTTTTACACTAAGTTGTGTTGGATTTTCAGTCGGGTTGGTTTTCTTTGCAGTGACTGTGCTGATATTTATTATTTTAACATGCGTGCAACGTAAAAAACAGAACCAAGAAACTTCAGCTAAAATAAGTGCATCTGGGCCGAATAAGATGACCAAGATGTTTCAAAAACTATTCGCGAAAATTGGAGGAATGTCCGCAAACAATCCTGTTCTAATAATAATGATTACGTCTTGGGTTGCGTTTGGAATGGTATTTGGTGTAATGAACCTAAATTTAACTTCGAATCCGATAGAACTTTGGTCTGCACCAGATTCCCGAAGCCGCCAAGAATTGAATTTTTTTAATGAAAGATTTGGTCCGTTTTATCGCACGGCACAAGTTTTCTTAACATTCCATACAGGTCCCTTCAAAAGGAGCAATGATGATGGCGAACAATGGTACGGATCTGCGTTTCGGTTAGAATCAATACAAGAATTAGTTAAACTAGAGAATAAAATAAAAAATATAAATAGTGAGGGAGAAGGGGTTACTTTAGCTGATGTCTGCTATGCTCCACTCTTGGAACGAGGTGCCCCTAAAGACATTAACCTGTGTGTGTCTATGTCTGCCACCAGTTATTTAAGTAATACAATTGCAATTAATAATGTTACTTATCTTAATGAGATTCAGGCTTGTATTAACAATCATTACGGGTTTGGTTGTTTAGCTTCATGGGGCGGTGGAGCCGATCCCGATTTAGCTTTTGGGGGTTTCGAACCAGGTAATGTTTTAAGTGCTAATACTCTTCTTATTAATTTTCCCATATCAAACTTTCTTTTAAATGAAGACCTAGAACCCGTATTAGAATGGGAAGAAAAGTTTTTAGAAGTTTTACATGAGTACAAGAGTAGCGTTGATCCGGAGTTTGTATCTGTGGCTTATGCAGCAGAAAGATCGGTTGAAGATGAGATAAAACGAGTTTCCGTTGCTGAAGCTACGCCAATTGCGATAAGTTATATCCTTATGTTTATTTATGTGACAATATCCTTGGGAAATGTAAGATCTTGTAAAACTCGGTTAATTGACAGCAAAGTAATGGTAGCCTTGGGAAGTATTCTTACTGTAGTTATAGCAATTGTTTGTGCGATGGGTATAATGGGTTATTTCCAGATAACATTAACACTGCTGGCGATTAATGTAATTCCATTCTTTATTCTATCTATTGGAATTGATAATGTATTTTTAATGGTAAATACGCTCCATGATATTCAAAGCAATTTAAAATCGTTTGATGATTACAAAGAAGATTTAAGTTTTGAAAAAAGGAGAAGATATGTTTTTGAAAAAATGATGGGAAGTGTAGGACCCTCAATGTTTGTTTCATCGGTTACACAAATAACTTGCTTTGGTATTGGCAGTCTTGCTAATTTCCCTGCTGTAGTAACTTTTGCTATATTTGCGACATTTTCCTTAGCATTTCTGTTTATTTTTCAAATAACTACTATCGTAGCATTATTGTCGCTAGACTATAAAAGAGCTTGTCAGAATAGGTTCGACATATTCTGTTGCATTCAGAAAAAAATATTGGATGATGAAAATCCTCTTCAATCTGAAACTCCTTATACAGGGGTAACTCAAAGACTGATGGTTCCATATTCTAAATTTATACTTGACTGGCGCGTTAAAATTGTAGTTGCTGTTTTATTCATGGCTTTGGTTTCTATCAACGTAATGTTTATCCCTGAGCTAGAAGTAGGCTTAGACCAACAAATGGCTCTTCCATCAGACTCATACGTGTACCACTACTTACAGGCAATCGCTAACTACATCCGTATGGGACCACCAGTGTACTTTGTTGTTAAAGGCGGTTTGAATTACACTGATCCTGATCACCAAAATGTAATTTGTGGAGGACAGTTATGTCATGAAGATTCTCTGAATATGCAAATATTCTTAGCTACCCTAAACAGTGATATTACGTATATATCAAAGCCTTCAAATTCTTGGTTAGACGATTTTACTGATTGGTCTGGTTTATATGGAGTTTGCTGCCAGTATAATACCACAACTCAAGGCTTCTGTCCTAGTGGTTTAAATTCTGATGATTGCAAACACTGCAGCATTCCGCGGTCTGATTACGCTAATGGTAGACTAAGGCCAGATAAAGAAGCATTCGAAAGGTATATTCCATTTTTCTTGCAGGACCCTCCCACTGAGATTTGCAATAAAGCCGGCTTGGCTAGTTATTCAGCTTCAGTGAACTATGTCCTTGACTCAGAAGGTCGTGCAACTATACACGATACAAATTTTATGGCTTATCACTCACCATTAAGTACTTCGAAAGATTATATTACTGCTGTTGAAAACGGTTACAGAGTTAGTGATGAGATAATGGCTGCTATTAAAAAACATACAGGTCTCGATATAGAGGTGTTCCCATATTCTATTTTCTACGTGTTTTATGAACAATACTTAACAATGTGGGCTGATACTTTTGTTGCCATCGGGTATTGTCTTCTTGGTGCTTTGGTTTTTAATCTTTTAGCTTCTGGTTTCAACATTTTAACAACGTTTGCTGTAATGTTTAATGTAATCTTGGTAATTGTAAATATGATGGGGATCATGTTTATCTGGAACATTCCTCTGAATGCTGTATCTTGTGTCAATTTGATTGTTTCTATTGGTATCGCCGTGGAATTTTGTAGTCATATTGCTTACGCGTATTCTACTAGTCAACTTCAGGGTCATGAAAAAATAGCGGAAGCCATCCAAAAAGTAGGGGCTACAATAATTACTGGAATTACATTTACAAACATTCCTATAATAGTGTTGGCCTTCTCGTATACTGAAATTATCGAAGTCTTTTTCTTTAGGATGTTCTTTAGCTTAGTTATCCTTGGTTTCTTTCACGGAATGGTATTCTTCCCAGTATTCTTGAGTTATTTAGACGGTTTAAAAAGATAAACATATGTGTTGCAAAATAAACAAGATCTTGTAATATCAATGTAATTTAATAATAAGATAAGTACCATACAAGATAATACCTCAGATGTATAATAACTAATAAAATGTGTATCGCAGTTATCAATGACATAGATGATTGTAATTTTAACTTATGACTAGAAAGTTAAGTTGTAAATAAATAAATAGTATTAACTTTACTAAATTATTGTTATTTTATTTTAAATCCTATTTACACAAATACACTGAAATATTCAGTGCCTCGAATAGAAAATAATGACTAGAATGTGTTTATTACACCTCGTAGATAAGGTACTAAGGAATAATTAGGAAGTTACATATGTATGTACAAAATTGCACAAGGTTTATTATTCGTCACATTATAATGGCGCTCTATTTTTTAAATATAACACTCTACAGCAGTAATGTGACTAGTCCCGACCTAGTCTTTTGTCCAGCCACACCTGCCAGGACTAACAAATGATGGTAATTTAACACATTAACTGATTAGGTTTTATCATCAGAATTATGACTTACGCATCCAACACGTGATTGAGATAAGCAATGTAACATATAGCTAGTCTGAGAATTTCGATTTTTGACAATTTTTTGTCTGGTGGTAACGTTGGTAGTAATCTCCTGAGAGCGCCAAATGCTGCATTGAAAGCTTCGACCCGGATTCTTTCCCTTGTGGCGTGGGCAGTTCTGTACTTCAGGGTGGCCCGGCGCCGTCTGCGACGTTCTTCTCTCGAGAGACCCGCACAAGGGGAACCTGCACTGCTTGACAGGTAGGCCTCCTCCGAAAGCGCACAAGGCTCCAATGTTCTGTCCCTAAGAAGAAGGATATACATACGGTCAGATGGCAGAGATTTGCTTACTGATTTGCAGACACCAGGCGACACTAGAACTAAGTATGTTATGTATAAACGAAACACAATGAATAAACATTTTTTTCAATGTTATTGGAAAGAATGGGTGACTTTATTTCAAGGTAATTGTATTTCTGAATCATTGAATGAATTGAAATGATAAGCGTTGGTCATATTCTGAATGAACATTGTCTTTTCAATTGGTTGAGGTATAGGCGTCTAGATTCTTTATTTTAGTTGTAACAGTAGCGTATGAAGTTTTTTAATAGCTGACAAAAGTTGTTGAATGACAATCTTCCGACAGAATCGGCCTTTTTTGACGTGGCGATAATTTTTTTTCATATATTTGGACGGCAAACGAGCGCTTCGGGTGGAAATAAGGAATGGTAAGCAATTAGGGCCGCCCATGAATACTCGCAATAACGGAGGAGTTACCGACCTTTTAGGGATTAGGGTTTTGGTGATTTAGGGATTGGGGAGGGGTTGGAGGAGGTGAAGGATTCGGCCTCCTGCAACGTCACTCACACGGCGAAACACAACGCTACGGTTGTTTTACGCCTTCATTCGGGTCGAAGCATGGCTCTCCCACACATAAAATTAAATGTTAAGCAACCTGTTTTATATGTGAGAGAAATTATTATTTGGGTTATAGGTAGAGCTTACTTACGTGACGACGACAAGATGACGTAATGAGATGAAAGAAAATAATTTTATTTGATTTTTTTGGAAAGGGAAAATCAACGTTATCCTGCCTCTTACCGACCAAAATCTACCCTGTTCCTGTAGCGTCAACCCCGCCTGGACATCAGCCCTATTAGGCCTCATCAGTAAATATGTCTATATCTACAATATCTACATATGTAAATGGTATAGAACCCTACAGTTTCATGATGAAGGGTGAATGAAGTTCCTAGTTCAAATGTGACTTGTATTAGTTCAGCAATATGACACATTTTACAATAAAAGTACTTAGGTATTAAACGCATTTAGTTTTCCGGTTTAATATTAGTCACCTAGAAAATTTGAATTTTATTATTTAGATATCATATCTAATAACATGTATCTATTCACTTATCTGTATGAGTAGGTATTTAAGCATTCCTTATTATTTAGCGGTAGTAACAACATATTTTATAGAACAAATTTATTTTCGTCAGGCATGTTAGGGAGCTCCATAACCGTAACCGAAACTATCGGATATCCGGTATAAAAAAATATCCGTAACCGTAACCGAATCCGAAATAAAAGTTTCGTATAATTGTTTGTATTTTACTTTTGAAATTCTTTAAAACTTTAATATCCGTAACCGAAATTATCCGAAACTAACGGATAATCCGAAATAATTTCATATCCGTATCCGTAACCGTATCCGGTATAATGATCATTCCTATATCCGTAATAAATCCGTATCCGAAATCTCATATCCATAACATCCCTAATTTTCGTTGATTGACTTTTACCTTCATCTGTAACTTCAAATTAAAATATAGGTATTGTATATTACATTGGACAAAAAACTCAAATATCTATTTATTGGTAAAAACTGTGCAAACAACGATGATTTTTTTTTAATAAATATAGGATAGATGTGATACGTAAGTATGCAAGGATTGCGTTGTAGTACGAGTAGTAGGTCTAAAGGGAAATAGGTAGGTAGGTACTTCTGGTAGGCTGTCAGTCACGGTTTAGATGTCTTCGATTCTATCTAAGTTTTCGCGTGATGTTTTTTTATGGTATTAGTCGGCAAACGAGCAGACGGGTTACCTGATGGTAAGCAATCGGCGCCGCCCATGGACACAAAATGAGTTACGAGTGCGTTGCCGGCCTTTTGGGGATAGGGGTTCGTTGGGGATCGGGAAGGGATAGGGGAAGGGGAAGGATTGGACTTCCGGTCACCTTACTCACACGACGAAAGACAACGCTGGGTTGTTTCACGCCGGTATTCTGTGAGACCGTGGTATCACCCCGGTCGAGTCGACCCATTCGTGCCGAAGCTTGGCTCTCCTACATTTAAACGAACGTGTACGAACTTTGCATTTTTTTAAGGGGTATGTCGTCAAACGAGCCTTCGGATCACCTGATGTTAAGCAATCGGCGCCGCCAATGGACATCCGCAACACTAAAAGAGTCACGAGTGCGTTGCCGGCGTTTTGTGGATAAGGGTTTCTGATGTTTAAGGATTGGGTAGGGATAGCATAGAGGGAGGGATCGGATTTAAAACTTTATTGTACCTAAAATTATACAGAGGTGAACCTATTGCCCTAGGCATTTTTTCTAGTCAACCCTAATTATGTAAAGTTTGGCAATACTATCGCTTCCTAATCCATACAAGGATGTAAATGTCAATGAAAGTTACTTAATTTGTATTCACCAACTAAAAAACAAAACAAAAATTACCTTTTCCTTGGAGCCAAATTTTCTCTTCCTGTGATGGGGAGCAATGCTTCCCGTGGCTCTGATAGTAGACAAGACAAGGACCCGTCTTCCATGCCACTGGCTTCCAACCAGCTCTTCATGGTTACTCTGTAAATAAATACATACATAAAGTTCCCATAACGGAGAATTAGTTCTCCCTAAGACGGTGCCGATGAAAAAAAATACCTAAGTATAAAAAGACTAGAATAAAAAAAATAAAAAAATTTAATTTCTTCATCCGTTCAGGCTCCGGAATATCACAGTAGAGAGAGACAGACAGATACGTCAAACTTATAATACCCTTCTTTTTCCGTCAGGGGTTAAAAATATGCAAATTGGAGGTATTCTCAAAAAAGTGTTAAGTACCTACTTCTATACTTCTAACCCATGTGCATATATATATGTATACTTGTTATATTATCAGAAGCATGCGTGTATAAGCTAAAGCTTTTTAGATTAATGCTTCCTGGTTCCAGTTGGCTGTGCTGTGCTGTACTTTTGTGACATCTTGGGTCGAACTATGCTGCTCATGAATATAAGCCCCTAGTCTGGTTTGAAAGTAGTCGAGTTAATAATTATTTTAATTCTATTTTCATGTGCAATTGATTTTTATGATATATATATATATATATATATATTCATTTCCTATGATATTGTAGGTATTTAGTATTATAGGTAGGGCTTTTACTTTATGCAAAATTTTATTCGGTTCTAAAAACTTCGACACGAACCTGAAAAGGTTCAAAAACAGCGAGTTACCAGAGAAAGACACGTAGGACTATAATTTAAATTTCCAACACATTAACTATGATCTCTTTTGGTAGAAGCTAGGCCATAAATAATAACAAATAAATAAAAATAAACAGTGAAATTATGTACCTAATTAGAAAAATACAAATAAAACCATAAGTATGGTCGGTAACTATGCCCATAGATAAAGCGACCAATAATTTTATCAGTCAAGTGTTGTAGATGTTTAATACTAGACTCGGCATAGTAACAAATAGAGGTGTCCGCACCCGTCAAGCGAGTCGATTCGATACGGTTAGAGGGCATGATTCGATTACCAAAGGGTTGGGGCGATATAAAGAGAATAAATACGGATTTATTATTCCCTAAAGAGCTCGCTTAGCCGTAGGTGTGAACGCGTGTTGTAATATTTATCTCAAGCACTCTTCTCTTGCGACCAGATAATTCGATTTTATAGGAAATCAAAACACACGTGATGTTCCTCTAAGGGTTGGTTGTAACGTCTTCGAAATAATAATACAATGGCGAAATATTTTGGTACACCTTGGAGCACGTTAAGCAGAATAAGGTACACTCTAATAGCACTGGATAAAGTGATCAACAGCGTGTCTGTAAAAATTATAGTGTCCACTTTAAAATGTAATACAGTAATTTTGGGTAGAGCATTGTCACACATTTATGAGGGGAAAGCGCAATAAGGTGCCGCTTCTACGGCCTGGAGCATGAGAAAGGAACTTTTATGCAAACGAATTACTTGAGGGTAAGCAATCAGTCTCGCACAAGGACAGCCGCAACAACCGAAGAGTTTCGAGTGCTTTGCCGAACTTTTGGAGATTTAGGGATTGGGGCGGAGGAGGACGGCGAACCACAACGCCGTGGTTGTTTCATGCCGGTTTTCTGTGACGCCGTGGTGTCACTCCAGTCGAGCCGATCCATTCGTGCCGAAGCATGACTCTCACACACTTAATTTGTGGTTACTAGTCAGATAGAGTCTGACACTCCCTCTTGTCTCAACTCTCAACCTAGGTGAGAGAAGGTCCTTTGATGAGTTTCCCTCCTCAAGAAAAAGGGATTTCATCGTTAGCATAAAGTGTAGTACCTGTCTGGTATATATAATTTGGGCCGAAACTGTTAACCTCTTTTTTTCCAATTTTGTTCTGAAGTTATTATGTAAAACGATAAAAATATCGAAAGTAGGTATAGTGATTAAATTTCTACCCTCTATCTACAGACATATTATTTCCTGTTTTTGTTATCCTACTAAGCATTGAGGATACACGCATGAAACAACAATTTGTGTGATCCACAAATTGGATTTTGGATCTGGGTGTTATGTGTGAAATTGTATGTTTGGAATGGCAACGACGATACAGAAGAAAAAAAATATAAAAAAAATGTTGCTAACAGCATTAAGAGCGTATAAGTCATGGGATATTGCTAAACCGATTTTAATAAAACGTGGAATTCATACGTAAATTAACATATCATGACCTAAAAATTTAATCAAGTACTTATGCAAGCTGGTGCCGTCGGCTTACCGAAGATCAAGAAGACAGTATCGCCTGATGGAAGGTGTCCAGTGCCACTAATTAAATGCTGCTTACAAGAAAAATAATTTTTGGTTTTTAATTACTTATTTGAGTCGGTTTTTTTTGTTAAAAATTATTTTTTACATCTAAAGAACCGTTTTTTTCCTGATAATCGATAAGATTTAAAACAGTTAGCCATAAGCTACCTTTTTTTAATGGGACAAGCCCGCCGCAATCTCCTAAAACCGCTACAACTCCTGTAAGCCAGGATCTACAATAGATACACCAGAAAACTGAAGTGCGGTGCGTCCCGGGGACATGAATGAAATAGTGTTTCCACTTCCCTCAGTAAAATTAATGCAGGAGACAGAATGACTTAGGCCTTAAAGGCATAGAAGAGACTGTATAACTGGGAGAAGCCAAGTCATCTAACACGACGAAAAATTTTGTATTGTAATGGGATCTATGTGTGAGCTGCTATAGTTGCTTCCAGTAACAGGTATGGTAAAAACGCATAAACGCATAGAAATTTGTTCTAAATTCCAAAAGGTCGTTAATAAACTACACCTGATGAGACATTTCAATTATCTAACATTATTTTACGTTCGCATTGCCAGAGACACTCCCAGAGTATATGATGGGCGGACTGCTCGTATTGCAGTTCCGCTGTCGAGCATATGCTCCATAGGGAGTCAACATGTTTAACTGAAAATAATTTTCTTTTAAAGTTGCCATGACCCGTGAGAAACTGGGCTACACAATGATACACCTCCTACCATATCTTCTCCAGCCGCTCTTGAACAGATGGAAAAAACTGATAAAGGTAGAGGGCCTTGATAGAAGATTCCCATCTACACTGACGTCCGCAAGTGGCTTAAACAATCTTGCAATTTTAATCCGATGCCGCTTCTTCGGCCTGGAGCATGAGAAAGGAACTTTTTATGCAAACGAATTACTTGAGGGTAAGCAATCAGCCTCGCACAAGGACAGCCGCAACAACCGAAGAGTTACGAGTGCTTTGCCGAACTTTTGGAGATTTAAGGACTGGGGGCGGAGGAGGACGGCGAACCACAACTCCGTGGATGTTTCATGCCGGTTTTCTGTGACGCCGTGGTGTCACTCCAGTAGAGCCAATCCATTCGTGCCGAAGCATGACTCTCACACACTTAATTTGTGGTTACTAGTCAGATAGAGTCTGACACTCCCTCTTGTCTCAACTCTCAACCTAGGTGAGAGAAGGTCCTTTGATGAGTTTCCCCCCTCAAGAAAAAGAGATTTCATCGTTAGCACAAAGTGTAGTACCTGTCCCACGTACCTGTACCTGTCACCAGAGGTTAACAGTTTCGGGCCAAATTATATACCAATATAATTTGGCCCGAAACTGTTAACCTCTTTTTTCCAATTTTGTTCTGAAGTATATTATTATGTAAAACGATAAAAATATCGATAGTATAGTGATTAAATTTCTACCCTCTATCTACAGACATATTATTTCCTGTTTTTGTTTTCCAACTAAGCATTGAGGATACACGCATGAAACAACAATTTGTGTGATCCACAAATTGGATTCCGGATCTGGGTGTCATGTGTGAAATTGTATGTTTGGAATGGCAACGACGATACAGAAGAAAAAAAATATAAAAAAATGTTGCTAACAGCATTAAACGCGTATAAGTCATGGGATATTGCTAAACCGATTTTAATGAAACGTGGAATTCATACGTAAATTAACATATCATGACCTAAAAACTTAATCTAATAGGTACCTATGTAAGCTGGTGCCGTCGGCTTATCGAAGGTCAAGCAGACAGTATTGCCTGATGGAAGGTGTCGAGTGCCACTAATTGGACATCGATATATAGATAAATCGATGTCCATAGGAGATTGAACTGCTTACAAGAAAAATAATTTTTGGTTTTTAGTTTACTTTTTGGAGTCGGTTTTTTTTGTTAAAAATTATTATATTACATCTAAAGAACACTTTTTTTTCCTGATAATCGGTAAGATTTAAAATAATAAGCCATAAGCTTACTTTTTTTAATGGGACAAGCCCGCTGCGACCTCCCAACACCGCTCCAACTCCAGGATCTACAATAGATACACCAGAAAACTGAAGTGCGGCGCGTCCCGGGGACATGAATGAAATAGTTTCCACTTCCCTCGGTAAAATTTATTCAGGAGACAGAATGACTTAGGCCTTAAAGGCATAGAAGAGACTGTACAACTGGACGAAGCCCAGCCACCCAACACGACGAAAAATTTTGTATTGTAATGGGATCTATGTGTGAGCTGCTATAGTTGTTTCCAGTAACAGGTATGGTAAAAACGCATAAACGCATGGAAATTTGTTCTAAATTCCAAAAGGTCGTTAATAAACTACACCTGATGAGATATTTAAATTATCAAACATAATGTTAAGTTCGTATTGCCAGAGACTGCACTCCCAGAGGATATGATGGGCAGGCTGCTCGAATTGCATGCAGTTCTGCTGTCGAACATATGCACCATAGGGAGTCAACATGTTTAAATTAAAATAATTTGCTTTTAAAGTTGCCATGACCCGTGAGAAACTGGGCTTCACAATGATACACCTCCAACCATATCTTCTCCAGCCGCTCTTGTACAGATGGAAAAAACTGATAAAGGTAGCGGCCCTTGATGGAAGATTCCCATCTGCACTGACGTCCGCAAGTGGCTTAAACAATCTTGCAATTTTGTTTCGATCGCGTTGTGCTAGAAAGTTTGCAGAAAAGTTTTGTCTTGCGTTGTAATACATAGAAGCACGTCGCCGCACCTCAAGATCCAAGTGAAGTAATCCCGCG